ACACTATTTCGCGTCGGACCAGGATCCCGAGCAAGTGCGCTAGTCGTCGCACTTTAGAGGGATCGACCCGGACTCCGAACTTAATTTTTAGAGCACCGGGCAAAACCCCATGAACCTGGCCTCGCTCCTGAGCCACGACGACGACCGCCAGTACGACGACGAGTCGGACGACGGCGAGGTCAGGGCCGCGCAGCAACATAGCGAGGCCAACGACGAAGGCGACACGCCGTCGCCGACGACCACCGAGTCGTCGTCGTCGCCCATCGACTACTTCCGGCCGGGCGCCGCGCACACGATCGACGAGAAGAAGAACCGCCATCGTCTGAGCAACATGCGCCACCGCAAGCGCAAAAACATGGAGATCGATGGCCTTCGGCGGCGTGCGCGCGACCTCGAGGTCAAGCGCGACCAGCTCCAGGCCGCGTCGACGTCGATTGCGGCGTCGGAAGGGCCATGGGAAGAGCTCTGCGAGATTGAGCGCGGTAAGCTCGCGCTCGCCCGCGAAGAGCAAACCGTGCTGGCGCGCTCGGTCGCGCGCCACGAAGTGATCATTCAAAAGTTCTACACCAACAAGTACCCGGGCCAAGGCGACGACGACGAGACCGACGCGCAGCAGCAGCAGCAGCACGACGAGGAAGAGTAGGGCCGCGTCTGCTATTTATTCTGTAGACGAAGGACTCGGAGGCTGCCTACACGTATATACTTGCATGTCTTTGAAGCTTTTGTGTACTACTCTCTCTCTCTCCCTCTCTCTCTCGACGGAAAAGGCGGGCCCAAGTAAGGAGGCCACCAGAGCCATTGATCTACCGAGACGCCTCCGATGGGACACGAAAGCTCGCGGACGGAAGGTCGACGCGAGGCAAGACGGCCCTTGAAGGCGGCCAACTGACGTAAACGCGATCCCGTCATCATCGAAGCCTCGCGCAATCGCGTGTCAAATGCACCGTCTGGCAGCCGGTGAAACGGCGACAGAGCGGACTTGCTTTGTTCGAAAACGATCGGATCACATCAACAAGTTGTCGTGCAGCCAAGCGCGACCTACTGCGCTTCCGCACCGCGCGTATATGGACGATTTCTTGGACGAGAGGCAGGGGAGCGCAGGCGCGAGTAATGCTGCAGGGTGATGGGAAGGCGGGTGTCGCGCGTTCGGCCTCGCGTACAGTAATAGTAACGGCGGCTTCGCCGTGTAAGCCAACCGACGGTGGCCCCTAGTACTTGGTATTACTGGTCCCGAGGCGCCTCGACTCTAGTAACGCTCCTCGACCACGAGCGTTCTGGCCATGCGGAGGCTGCGAGCACGGCCAAAGCGAACGCTGCGTCGCTTGGGACGCATCGAGAGAATGGGTCACAAGACGATGCGGCGGGGTTGCTTCGAAGCAAGCGTATAGCAATACCATAATCACTCGTCGTGGGCGTGCATGTGATTGTGTGACCATATCTCGTGGCACGCGGAGCGTCAAGTTGAAGTTGTTGGAAAAGACGACGTGGCACGTTCTGGCAGCGTGGCCTCGCACGAGGTTGCGGAGCAAGCTCAATGGCGCGAGGCCGCGGGATGCGGTGCGCAGTGGTGAGGCTGGTGTTCGTACGGCGTGACGCCGAAGCGACGGGGTCTATTAGCTGTCGCAGAAAGTGCGGCGTTGAGATCAAACGATGCAGCTCACCCACGCGTGCGTCTTGGTTCAATCGATGCCAAGCTGTGAGAACGTCCACGCCAACGGTGTGTACTTAATATCCAAGGCGCATTCCAGCGGTATCTTAATCGTGGGGCGCACCATCCGTAGGGTCGTGGACCAGCATGGGTCTATCGTAAAGCATCGACAGCAGGAGTGCTTCCTAGGGACTAGATCATGGCGTCGAGTCTGCTCGCGCATACTCGCACGACTCCTCTTGATCGGAGAATCCAAAGCCGCTGGATGGAAGCACGTTGCTTGCTTCACTGTCATGGCCAGTTCTTAGCGTGTTGGTATTACCACCACGCGACTACTTGGGCAATACAAGCGCTCGGACAAGTGGCGTCGCAAAAATGTACGTACAGCTGTCTGCTACGATCGCCACTGCGTTTCAAAAAGCACTTGTTCGAAAGCTCGCGTCCTCCGTTGCCACGTTTCAAAGCGCCGATTCGAACACGGACCATGGCGGCCAAGTACGACGCGGTGTCGCCCGAGATCCGGCAGTACCTGCGGGCAACGCTGACGCCCGTGGTCTCCATCTATGTCCATTGCATGCACCAGCGCCGGCTTCGCGCCTTCCTCCTCTGGCGCATGCACGTGGCCACGGTCGGCATGTGCGCGGCCCAAGCGCTCGTCACCGATCGCCTTCGGTACGTTCTATCCTCGTACTACCAATGTCGTCCACGCATGGCAGCATCGTCGCACGAGGGCTCGTTCGCGCGAACACGGCGTCGCAGATCGCGTCGTCTCTCTCGCGTGTACTGACGCGGTCAAGAACCAAGCGCCTCGTGCATGGGTTGCTGCGCTGGAAGCTCGTGGTGACGCAGTATGCTCGCATTGCATCGTACGCACCCGAGTACATGCATTGGATCGCGCGGCATCCAAGTACGACGCTCCAAAAAGCGTGTTTATAGCAGCGATGGACATGCGTAGTGCACCTGCCGTTGCTGCAGGTTCGCGATGCGCTGCTCCAGTGCAAGGCAACGCTACTGCTTCGTGGTACGCTCTTGGCGACAAGGAGCCTGAGAATGTTTATGGATGGCCCGTGTCTATGGTAGCGGTAGCTCACTGTCGCCCGTGCCACGTTGCGTGGCACCGGTGGAAGCGAGTACGCGTCAGACTCGCCATTCTCTGTGATCGAGCACTGGTTAGGTGGCGCGGATTTGGCCCTTCATGGCGCAGTGTCTCCATCGCCTCTACCTTGCTTTCCTCCTGCACGTACTACGTTTGTTCCGAGTGCGGATTGGCTACACGTGGCAGCGTAGCGATGGCGCACGTATGCGCAGGCAAAGCACATGACGCGATGCATTGCAAGCACGACGTGTGCGCGGCTGCGCGTACGAGGCGTCGTTGAAAACGGAGATGACGCGGCGCTCTGTAGACGCACCGCGCGCGTGTCACCGTCCAGCGCTGGCGTCAGCAGACTACCAACCGTCAGCAAGCACGGACGCAGCGCCACGTCATGCGTCTTGGTAGAGGACTCCACTACAGTGCTTATGCTGATAAAACCCACTTTTGTCTAGCCCGCAAGCGATTCGTGACGTCGCAGGTCTTTGCACGGGTACGTACGCTCGATCTACCGCATGTCGCTCAAGGACCCGTGGATGGCGTAGTGGCAGGCGACCGTCGTTCGCTGGCGCCACCAGCGCACGCGAGTCCGGACCCTCCTATCGAGCCTGCACCGTGTATGGCAGTCGAGACTCGCGGCGGCATGGACACACTGGTCTACCGTGCATTCGAAGCGCCAGGTATATACACTGGCAAAAGGACCTTGGTGTAGAGTACCGCCATCCGCTGTAGCACGCCGCACAGAGTCTGCAACGCATTCTCACGCGGCGCCGACATCGCGACCTTGACAAAGCCTTTCTCGCACTACGCTTTCATGTACTGGAAGACAATACGTCCGCCGTACACGGTTCTGAATTGCAGCATAGAGTGCCACGCGGCGCCACTGCACCGAGGCACGGCACATGCAGCAGCAGTGGCGCTATGGAACGACCGCTGCGACCTGCCTCCGGTAGCTTCATAGGCGCAGGATGCATTCGGCAGCACACACAACAACAAGAATCCATGCGTAGGCTGTGGCGCCAGCGTCAGTACCATCGCTTGTACCGGGGCTTCGCCACGTGGCAGCACCACAACGCATGCTTGCGTCACGTCGAAACGTCCACTCGCATCCAACGACTCGGCACGCACTATCAGCGATGGCAAGCGCATCACACGCTCTCGTTGGCGATGCATCGTCGAGCGCACATGGCAAGACAACGATTGCAGTGGCGCCAGGTACCGAGTCGTGGCCCGCCGAATCGACTGATAAAGGCGCTCGCATTAGCTGGCAGCGGTGCTCCAGTCCTGGCGACGTGGCGTGCTGGCGGCGCAGGTGCTGCGAGCGACGGCGTTTGCTGCCTGGAAAAGCAGTTTACATGAAAAGCGTCACCATCGAACGCTAGCGTATCGTTGCCTCCAGCGCCTCTATGCGCTGCATTGGTGGCAGCGGTGGCTCGGTACCTTACCCTACGCCTACCCTACCCCATCTCTCCATTTCCGCGTAGAGGCCCACCGCCGTGAGAGACGCAAGTACCTCGCATCCCTCGGGGCTCCGATGCGCTGTGCTAATATCGATGCTGCGAGTACGAGGCACCTCGCGCAGACGCTGTGCTTCGCGACGTGGAAGCTACGAGCGCTGGCGGCCAAGGCCGATGGGATGGTACCCTCTGCATGGACATAGACTTGACGACGACGACGTCTCCTCCTAGGCGACACGAAACAAGTGGCTTTGTAAAGATGCGGCCAAGCAAATGCGCGCAACGTACTTCCAGCAGTACGCTACGCGATGCAATCGGATCATCAAAGCGCAACATGCGACATGATAGGTGGAAGGGCTTCGCGACGTTGACCACGCTGCGGCGGCAATGTAGGTGTAAGACGAGGCGGCGTGGCAACTGGAGTGTTGCGTAGGTGTGTCTTATAAGGCGCTTGCTTTGGGATTGGCGACGCGGCTCGAACGATCGACGATGTGTCGCCGCGTGATGTCTCTTGTGGCGGTAGTGAGACACGCATGCTGCTGGTGCATTGGCCAAGGGTGGTGCTCTGTAGCATTGGCGTTCGTGGGCGACGACTCAGGGTCGACACCGACGTCTTCTGCACCGTGCGCAGCTGCAAAATCGCACTCGCCGACTCGTGCGGTGCGTCGACACTTGCACGTTCTCCAGTGCAAGCGTCTGTATAGGGCGATGGGCGCATGGAGACTCCATGTACGTCAAAGCCTGCGCGTCAAGACGCTGCAGCAGTCACGGCAACGCTCCCTGCAGTACGACTTTTCTCCCCTTGACCATGTACAGAGTTAACGCATCGTAGCGTGTCTGCATTTTCACAGTGGACGGCGCTTGTGACGTGGCGGCGTCAGCTGCGTCTGCTCGGGGCGCGCTGGCAACGCTTGCGTCTGCATGAGTGCTTGCATGCACCCTTCGATGCGTGGCGCGGCCCTTTTGTGGACCACGAACGGACATGTCGAAGAGTCTTGGCTCGGTGCTTGCACAAGGCATCGCTCGCGGTATCCAATGCAAATGCAAGATCAAGTTGATACTAACTTGATACATACCCAGATGTATCGGCACGCGTGGGGGCAATGGCGACGTGCTCAGCAACGGCGCGCCGAGGACGAAGCGGTACGAGCATGCAGACTCGCATCGCCATGTGTGGTGATTATTGTCTTCTTGGGTGTAGACGCAACAGCTCACGCTTCTTCGCGTATGGACGGTATGGATACAACACGTGCTGCGAGCGCGGCATGTGAAGCACCAGCTGCGTCGGCGGCTGCGAGGTGACGAGCCGTGCGACGATCCATCGCATCACAGTCATGTAGGCATGCTGCACGCAGCACGTCGTCGTGCGTGGCAGGTGTGGCAGACACATACAGTCGTCTACCGGCATCTCGCCCGGGCCGGTGCACAAGCATTCGAAGCGGCTACGACCACTGCTATCCTGGAGCGATCCACCGCAATCGAGGGTGACTGCAGCGACCACGCGACACAGACCGACACGTCTGAACCAGAGAGCGCGATGGCGCTGAAGGAGCTCCAAGCCACCCATGCAGCGCTCGTGCAGCGCTATCAGCAGAGCCAGACAGAGGCCGCCGAGCATCTGCGGGAGCGAGCGTCGTGGCGGCGTCAACTCGATGGCGTCATGATGGAAAAGACAACCTTGATCGCAGGCCTCGACGAGTGCAAGGCGCGACTGCAGACGGCCAAGCAGCTCGCCCACGACAACCGCGTCAGCACTTGCAAGAACGAAACCCATGTGTCTTAGAGATGGTTGTGTAGGCGCTGCGTGCTCTCGTCACCGATACCGCAGCCCAGCGACAGCAGATAGCGCAGCTCACAGGTACTGCGTCGCTTGTATCGAGGCCGAGAGACGATACGCGCGTAGGCCGCTGCGTTCTCGGTGAGCGCATGCTCCAGCGCCTCGAACTCGAACTCACAAACGAGCGGTGTGAGCGGGCGCGCGAGCTGGATGCGCACCATGTACACGCCACCGACCTCACCATCCAGCTGGCCACGGTATGTATGGGGCTGTACATGGTTGCGATATTCGATCCAACGTGCGTCTAGGTGCGCGACCGCTGCACGCACCTCGAAGACATGGAGCGGTACATGTGTCTGCGATATTGTCGTCTAGTGTGCCCACGGGACCGTAGCTACAACGTCAAGCTCCAACACAAGCTGGCGCTGCAGGAAGACCGCTGGCAGCGCGCCAAGCTCGCGAGCTTTGAAGCAACGCTGCAGCGCATGGACGCGGCGACAAAACCCGAACCCTAAATCCGCCGTCGTCCACGACGTCTATAAACGCATCATAAATGCTTGTATACCGTTTTTCTATTTTCTAGTTTCCGTCGACGGCTCAAATGGATCCGGTCGCGACGCATCCGACCAATCCATCGCTAGCTGGAACCACGGGAACACCGAAAAGGTTGTCTTCCCTCTGATTGAAACACGGGTCGATAGATTGATACAAAGGATGCACCTGGGTAGAGGACTAGACGATGGTAAATTCAGCATGTTCGAGCTGTGCGAGCACGCGGAGACCGTCTTTCATCAACTCCTTCTTCGGGTACAGTGGCAAGTCGATGCGGTTGAAGCATGCGTGGGCCCTCGGAAAGACGCCGCGCGCGTACGGAATTGCCTCGACGGTAAACGGACAGAGACGGCCGTCAAAGCTCGTGAGGCCTTGAAAGCCCTGGATGGGCACGCGCGACGAGCCCGTCGTGAACTGCAGCAAGTGGCGGCGCTGCGTCGGCGTCATTTCGCGCAAGAGTTCCCAAAACCACGCGGCGCTATTGGTCGCCGCGTGCGCTAGCGCCATCTTGGTGTGGCGCTTCCAATCGTCTACGTCAAGGTCGGCCGCAGACCCGGCGACCAAGAGGCCAAGCTCTTGGTAGTCGAACGGTAGAACCAAGTCGGCTGGCATGACCTAGTAGGAGTCCACGCGTCAGATGATGATGACGACGATGCTGCATCGCATTGGAAGACGGATGCGCAACCTCGTTGAACCCATGCAAGAGCGCGGCCAGGGGCTGCTGGACACGGTCGAACAAGAGGTACCGGACCATACAGTCCACGTAGACGGCGCGGTTCGATAGCGTCACGGGCACGTCTTGGCCGTTGGGCAGCAGAGGCACGAGGTCGCTCTTGCCACGGGAGACGGTAAAGTCCAAGCAGAGGTCGTCGACGGAGGACGCTGTCGCAATGTAGTGCAAACTGGCGGATGTTGTTGGGTCGAGATACGCAATGTCGGCAACCGAGAGCGGGGCGCCCACCAGTGCTTTGAGCAGCGGCACGCAGAGCGGCTGCGGAAGCACTTGCCCGTCGAGCATCGCTCGCGCATAGAGACGACCCACGGCGCGAAAGCGCGTCAAATTGGTCGGCTCGAGGCTCGTGCGATGGTCGATCATGTACGCACCGTCTTCCTTGTGGTTGACGCAAAAAAGCCCGGCCGACGGCGTCAAGACGGCCGCGAGGACGAGGCTGTACCACTCGCGCTGGAGGCCACCGGCGTCCACGCCGCTTTCACCGAGCATCGTGATGCTGGTCGTTGAACAGAGGGAGGCCGGTGCGATCTGCAAGAGCAAGTGGATCGACTCGAACGCGAGGTCCCGGTACACGTTGAGCTTGGTCGTTGACCGCGACGTGTGGCTGAGCCGCGTGAAGAAGGCAGCGACCTTGGTCGAGAAGGACGCGTCTTGAAGCGCAATGAGCTGGCGCCACTGCCATGTCGTCAACGTCTCGCCGGCCGCCGGGGCAAGGAATGGGGACATGGTCGCCAGCGGCGTCCACGCACACGTGCTGGTCGCCGGGTCGTAAGCAATCACAAACTGGCCGTGCATGGAATCGGACGAGGGCCACTGCAGGTCCCCGGTCGGCGACAAGGTCCGCGCCCACTGCTTGCGGCGCCTACGACAATCGTGATGTCGTTAGAGAGATGATGGGATTCCGACGACGCGTTCGCACATGGCACTCTGCTGCCGGAGACTCAAGGCAGCGGTTGGCGACGCGTCTTTGGCGGCGTCGCAGAGGACGCAGTGCATGGTGCGAAGCTGGTTGTGGAAGGCGCAGATCGAACACGACCAGCGTGCAGCGTTCCTACAAGCGGGCTATGCGCATGGATGTGGGATGTAGTGCGACGTACGGATCATCGAGGTTCTGGCGCAAAAGTCCGTCTTGAAAGTTGCCCAGAAAGCTAGGCATCGAGTGAGACGATAGGTATGCGATAGCGGCAACATACTCTTCTTCGAGGAGCGCGGCTTGGCTTGGCTGACAGCAGCAGTGCCGAAGGATGCGCCACGCTGCATAGAGGAAGGCCAGCGCCAGCACCACTTGCAGCACGCGCATGAGCGTCATCTTGCTGTCGTCGCTGCTCATGATCGCTGCTTGGAAATGCAATTGTGATGGCCCAAGGGTTCTGGACAGGTCCGTTCAACGAGCCTACAGGATCGCCGTGTCCAACGGAGTCTGTTGGACACACGATCGCGTCTCTGCACCTCGACGCGCCACGTTCGGATATCCGGATGGGTCACTTGATGGCTGGGCTCATGAATGGACTTGGCATTTGTATGGATGGCTTGCCCGCGGATCGGCCAAGTATACAAAACACAAGTTTAAAAGCAGCCATGAACTGACCCTTTACCACAGGCTCGGATGTTTGCTGTCTTTGTGCCGAATTGAAAGCGAATTCAATTCGGCACATTCGGCATGTGCCGATCGCCGCAGCTTCAACGCGTGTCTCGACGACCACATCGGGTTGTGTACGCAGTGGCTTCTCGCGTGCTGCCAGCGGCAGGATAGAGGCTATCGCACTTGCATCACATACCGCATGGTTCTAGCGGGTCGTGCCTTTTTGCCGTGGCGAAAATCGAGGTTGAGGTACGGGATTGTTGGGTGTGGGTTTAAAAGATGGCATATGCCACATGCCATATGCCACTTTGAACCGGACGGAGGTGCCACAAGCAAGAAGTCCCCGATCATGCTCAAGCACAAGCTCAAGGATCGGGACGTCGACGCCGTGGCCGCGATCTTGACGCGGCTCCAGGCCAAGGAGGCGAATGCGCGTGAGACAGCGGCCCTCGACCTCCGCGCGGCCGTGGCCACGCTCTCGCGCGAGCTCACGTCCGAGACCTTTGCGCGGTTCCTCTCGGAGCTGACGCCACGCCTCCAGAGCCTCCTCCAGAGCCCGAGCTTGGGCGACCAGCTCGGTGGCATCGCCGCCGTCGAAGCGCTCATTCCCGTCGCGAC